GTGTTCGCGCAGGCAACAGAGGAGGAGGAAGAGGAGGAATAGGCGGTCTGGAGACAGTCAGGGATAGTTAGCGAAGAAATAGAGGGAGGGAGGCGCTGTGGAAGGCGGGAGCGAAAAGAGATGGCCCCAGCGCGGGAGATCTGAACCTTAAATTTTCTGGGCTATAAAGACCATGTCAACACGGAATCCCCCTAAGTCCCCTCACAAACCTTCTGTCCTCCTCTGTCACGCCGTGACTGTCACGTTCCAATTATGAACAATGTGTATTCATCGTTGGACTCTGGTCACGCTGTCCCCACCGTCGTCGCCAATGGTCTCCATCACCATCCCACCCCTGACCTCATCGTCAACGGCGATGTTAAGCACCTCAACGGCGACAACTCCCATCAACGCGCCCCGTCTCCTGCTGCCGAGTCCCCCGCCACCCCCATATCCAATATGGTCGCGCCTGATGTAAAGATAGACATCGACTACCAAGAGCAAGAGAGTGATGCGCGCCACGAACCCATGCCTATTATCAAGCAGCTCGATGACATTGAAAAGACCGATACTGCCTCCACCATTCCTCAGCTTGGCACGCCCGTTGATCCATGTATGTCGCTATTGTCTGTATCTCAGTGCGACGTCTCACCGACCCCCCACATTAAGCCACCTATTCCCGTCCATCCACCTAGTGGGACGCCGCCACCGCTAACAGGTGAACTTCTTGAAGACGTCAAAATGGCCGAAGCAATCCCCAATGGCTTTCACCACGCGCCTCACGACGATGTCGTCATGCGGGATGCTGATACTGAGACACCCGCCACCACGCCCGGCCTTCTCCATGCAGACTCGTCCATGGCCAATATCGATCACATCGGCGCGTCACCGGCATACTCTACCCCCACTGAACCTCTCCTGCACGACCATGAAGACGATAAGCCGCCTCCGGCAAAGAGGGCAAGAATGCAGTCTGAGGCTGATGACATTGTACCACACGTAAGCCTTACCTCCGTTGTACGCCAGCATGGGCGTTCTAATCTCTCCCTCCATTCCCTGCCGTCCTTCTAAAGTCAGCCACTCCACCTCCAGAGTCCGCGATTATGTCTACTGCTAGCACACCTGTTCCATCCCAATCTACCTCGTCCACCATAACTGCCCCCCAGTTCAGATTTTGTCAATCAACAATCCGCTCATTGAAGAAATTGAAAGATGCAGGGCCCTTCCTACGACCAGTTGACTATGTCGCTCTCAATATCCCCCATTATCCTTCCATCATCAAAACGCCCATGGACTTTTCCACCATCGAGCGCAAGTTAGCCTCCTCGAATCCCACGAAGCCCGACCTCAACCGTCAGAACCCTCGTTACCACAACATCGACGAATTCATAAGCGATGTACGGTTAATTTTCCAGAACTGTTTGGCTTTCAATGGCGCAGAGCATGCTGTGTCGATGATGGGAAAACGGGTTGAGCAGGTATTTGATAAGCAGATCAAACAGATGCCGGCTGCAGTAGAGGTTCGTTTTCTTTGAGCTTTGACGTCGTGTTAGCTAAGCGGTTCCACAGCCTAAACCTCCAGTTGTAAAAAAGGTAGCTACGCCGCCACCGCCACCGCCACCACCCTCTGCACCTCCGAAGAAGGTCACTGTCGCCGCTCGCCGCCCGTCAACATCCATCCCCGTCATCCGGCGCTCGGATAACGCACCTGAGGCTATCGGTCGTCCGAAGCGCGAGATACATCCACCTCCCCCGAAGGATCTAGCCTACGCTGATGCGCCCAAGAAGAATCGCAAACCGAAGAGAGGGAAGGATGATGGCACTGTGGAACAGCTCAGGTTTTGCAACAGACTCCTGACTGACCTGCACAAGAAACAGTATATATCTGTTGCGAGCCCCTTTTACGAGCCCGTTGGTAAGTCTGACGTGTCTTCACATCGTCGCGTACTCCTCTTAAACCAATACTTGCCTTCAGATTGGGTGAGACTCGACCTTCCGTCGTACCCAAAGATGGTGAAGAAGCCCATGGATTTGTCGACGATACGCAAGAAGCTCGATAACAACCTTTATCCCACGGCGCACAAGTTCTTTGACGACTTCAAGCTCATGATCAGGAACTGTTTCGTGTTCAATCCCGCTGGCACGCCTGTCAACCAAGCTGGGATCGAGCTTCAGCGTGTCTTCGATGAGAAGTGGAAAGCTCTTCCCCCACTACGCGAGGTCGCGAGTGATGAGGAGGACGAGGAGGAGGAAGATGACAGCGAAGAGGAACGCCAACGTGAGTGATAGTCTGAGATTTATTATACATCCTGACACAGGCGTGGGGTGCTGACAGAACGCACAGGTGCCATAGCTATGATGGAGAGCCAGATTGAGGCCATGAGAGGCAATATTGCTGCGCTGAAGAACAACAAGGTTCCTAAGGAGAAGAAGAAGAAAGAGAAACGGGAAAAGCCGCCCGTTGCATCTTCCTCCAAGGCGGCCCCCACCAAGCAATCCAAGTCGACGCAGAAGACCAAGAAGACCAAGAAGCCTATCGCCGACAACGACGTCCTGACATTCGAGCAGAAAAAGGACCTTAGCGAGTCGATCGCTAAGCTCGACGAGCCGAAGCTGGAGAAGGTCATCCAAATCATCCACGAAGGCGTTCCCTGAGATTAGAGACGTGAGTTGTACCTCCTGTAGATCTTTTCCTGCCTCTCATCTTGTCCCTCCAGAGCACGGAAGAAATAGAGTTGGAGATAGACCTACTGCCTGCAGCTGTTCTAACGAAGCTTTACAACTTCGTGCTGCGGCCTTTACGTGCACCTCCAACAAAACGTAACCGGCCAGGCAAGGGCACGGGCACCGGTGGACTCAAGCGGAAGAGCATGGACGAAGATGTAGAGGCCGAGAAGATCAGGCTGCTAGAGGAACGGATGCAGCTTTTCGAGCGCAAAGCGAGCGGCGGCGGCATGCTTCCCCCTCCTCGCGAGGACAGTGAGCATTCATCCGACTCCAGTGACTCAGACAGCTCGGGCAGTGATTCAGAGTAATTTTTCTTTACATAATATTTGTTTCCCTTGCAAGCTCACTGGACTTGTTGCTCCCGTACTATATTTTTACGTTCTTGCTCATTGCCGTATTGCGAAGCCCCACCTCTTCTTGGCCACCACCCATCGACCTTATATACATACTTCTATTACCATCAATTGCCGATACAGACATACAAACAACCCAATTGTAGCTACTTAGTTAACGTTAAACTTGAAACATTATTCCCGTTGTGTTTTGTCGAAGGTATTCTGACAAGGAGAACGATCTATCGTCGCTTGGGCCCTGACTTCTGGAATTGCTGCCATCCTGAGCGTATTGGTTGAATGGGTTCGGGAACATTAGGTGGCTGGTTCGATGGAGGGGGCGGAGCGGCCGACACTGACGATGGCTGGGCTGTTGCACTGCTCCAGGAACCGGATGATCTACTGTTTGGAGCGACGCTCGACCAGCCTCCCCGAGATGGTGCGGGAGGCGGAGCAGTGGGAAGCAGCGGTTGACTCGAGGGTGGTATTACCTGCTTTGTTGCCCGGTTCCACCCTGAGGAACCCGACGATGCGCTGTTTGATGTGACACTTGACCATCCACCTCGAGATGGGGGGACAGAAGGCGGAGCGGCAGGTGGTGGCAGGTCGCTTGTGGCTGGTATTGGAGGCGCCGTCTGTGAACTTCCGGTATCCAGGGATGTCCAACCAGCCGTTCTGAAGGCAGGAGCCGAAGACGGCTTGCTGGGTGGGATGTGAGTACCTCGGAGAGCCGTTTGATGAGGTCGAGGATTCGTGGGGTGGTGGAGGTGGAGGTGCCGAACCAGGCCCGACGGACGCCCAGCCAGACGTAGCTCGGGGCGTCTGGCCGGTGCTGCCGGAAACAGTTGACCAACCACCTCTCTTGGGCGGCCGCGGGAGAGAATCGACATCCATGGTATTGCTGGCTGGCGAGGTCGTGTCCGCGGGAATTAGAGGAGTGGCACCTACGGGTTTAGGCATCTTGATCCCGTTAGCTGCAGCAATCTTCCTTAGCTCCTTTTCTTCGCGCTTCCTTTCCTTCTCCTTTCTCTTATCGACCTCCTCCTTAGGTTTGAGGCGCACGTTGGCCTGCATGTCCCTGAAGCGTGCTTTATGATGGTGCGCGTACGAATTGGTGTGCTCGTCGTACTGGGCAACGGTTTTGAACTGCTTGTCGCATAAAGTGCAGTAGAAGGCTTTCAAGGTCGTCGAGATTTCGTCCTCAAGGGCCGACTTTCGAGCGACCAAATCCTGTATGATATATGAGTCGAATATGCCTCAGTAAAATAGATGAATTCAACCTCTCGTGCTCGACGCTGATCCTCTGTCTCTTTCTGTTGGCGCTCGGAATCCAAGCCACGGCGCTGTGAAACAGTTGTTTCAATCATTCTTACGTCTTGGTTGGTCTTCCCGAGGCCAGTTAAATCCCTCTTGATTTGGAACGGGATTGGATCGACACGTCCTATTGCAGGTTGGACTAGACAAAGGCGAGGCACGAATCTGGTCACTCACCATCTCCGATATCCCTAGAGGTTGGCCTTCACTCCAGCCAAGCTTTGCAAGCATGGCGAAGCCCTTGTTGCTTGACTTGATCCTCGTTTCGACGGTAATGACTTCGGAAGGCGCACTTCGAAGATATTCATCGTACTTGTAGACGTCTGCGTCGACGTCCATTGGCGGAGGAGAAGGGGTGCGAGAGACGATGGAGACGTCGTCATCTTCCTCTTCCTCGCCTGGCCTAGGATGCTGGTGGGTGGGAAAAGGGAGACAGAGGCAGTATGGGTTGCATTAGTGGGACGGGACATGGTAAGAGTACCTTCAAACTCGGACTGGGCTCGTCTGTACGAGACAATGGAATAGCGTTCCACCTGGAAATTGAGTTCTCTGTCATGGGGGAGTGGAACTGTAAGTGATCAGTAGCAGTTCAGTTGCAAGTGCGGCTTCAAGTCGTGTGCGATGACTTTGTGACAACCGTGAGTCCAAGCCTCCTTGGCTCAGTTGGCTAGAGCGCAGGTCTCATAGCAATATGACGTAAGCTTCTTACGTAAGCTTCTTACGCAATCCTGAGGTCGCAAGTTCGAGCCTTGCAGGGGGCAGACATCTTTTTCCCACAACTGTTGCACGTGGGACATTATCCGATTTGCGCACGTATTCCGGGCAACCAGCGTTCCTCTCGACAGCACGGCCACCTCTTGTCCTCGATTGTCCTTCCTAACCTTCGGGAAACCTCCCACCTGACGAGGCTATCTGAAGGTGGCGCTTACAGGACCCAGACCTCGATGAACCCCCGAAAACGCCAAGCAGCTGAACCACTACTACCACAGCACTCAGCTAAGCAACGCCGGACAAGGATGGTGGGCTACGACGGAGGGAATCCTAGCGCTTCGAACAAGGTGGTCTTTTGTCACGGTGGAAGAGGTTCGGCAAGGATTTTGGGAATTTAGCAGCAGAGACGTTCAGTACCGTGGTTTTTGGTCTTCGACGTGAGTTACCTTGAACGCCCACCCTTAAGTATCAGCTGAAATTCCTAGAACAAGAGGATATTCCGGGAGATGCCAAATCATTGCAAGCGCTTGATGAGCAAGATCCGACGCGTTCAGAAGCCCAACTGCCTCAGATTAACGGGTACCGATTTGCAGAGGAGCGCAACTACGACCCCTGTACAAGAAGCCATGGTATAAAAATGCCAAGGGACCACGATGCACCATTTCGGATGCACTATCCACCCTCTACCCCTCCAAACGATCTTTCGAAGAGCAAACAAGCGATACATCTCCGCTACGTCCAGATACAAGTGTATCATTCACCAGTCATACCCAGAGTGTGGTCACACAACTAGATAGCGTCCCTCCACCAAGACTAAAAGCGGAAGACGGAGTGATACCACGCCGGTACAGGAACCGTGAACATATCTACATAAAAGCGGTCAGTTTCGACGATTATTTCAGTACTTCTCCGTCTCACGATGACTCCAGCACAAAGCGAACGTGCGGGCTGAGACGCAGAAAAGCAAGGAAGAAATGCAAAGGCGATTATACAACATAAAACGCAGCAGTGGTACGCATCGTATCGTGACTTCATGTCGGTGGCGCTCAATAGAACTTCAGGCTACACATCGAACTTTACAGACTTCCAAGGTGAGTAGCAGCCCCCTCACCCGCAGCGTACAAGGCACCATATACGAACTTTTCTCCGTAGGCCTTTTAGCATACCAGGCGAAGTTGGAGAAGCTTGACCAACGCGATGCCTTTTCTCGTACGTATTATGAAGTAGTTGCTTCACTGTGTCCTAAAGGAACTCCAGCCTCTTCTTCGATGGTAGACTTGCATGTCAAGGAACCGGAACCTAGGCATCGGCGGCACTCCTACTCTGACGTGAGTTTCAATTTTAATTCCACTGGAAACGCACTAAGGTTTTTCATCAGACTGACGATATGGATTTCTTGCGGCGTGCATTCGACCGAGCAAAAGCTACGCTTAACGAGTGCGTCTTTTCGTATGGCTATGAAAGGACATCTTTTCTGATGAGCTCTTATCCAACAGACCTCGACCACCACGGCCATTCCAGCCTTCACTGGAACAGCTACGGATAACTCATCGCATCAAGGATGAAAACATTGAGCAGCTTCTACGCCCGAAACTCGTACCCCCAACTCCCTTATCTCTCAAAGATGATGCACAAGTCGATGTCATCTTGAAGAAACGAGGCACCGTTTCTAAATTTGCTCGAGAACAAGTAAACGAACAGGATTTGTCGCGACTACGACCCAGCCAGTGGTTGAATGACGAGATCATCAACTTCTACGGTGCATTGATACTAGGACGGTCGGATGATTCCAAGGAGAATCCTCCGAAGCAGGGGATGCCATTGTTGAATGTCCACTACTTTAGCACATTCTTTTGGTCAAAGCTCAAAGATGGTTATGAAAAGGGCCGTTTAGCGAAATGGACTAAGAAGGTAAGCATCACTTCTCCGTCGACTCTGACTTGTATTAATATCTCCTCCAGATTGATATATTTTCCAAAGATGTCATACTTATTCCAGTCAATCATAGCAATGCCCATTGGACCAGTGCTGCTGTAAACTTCCGTCGGAAACGTATAGAGTCATATGACAGTATGGGGACAAGAAGAGATAACGTTTTCAAGGTATGTACTGGTCTGTTTCACTGAGTTCAACAGCTCAATTCTCTTCAGGCACTGCGGGCATACCTTGATGCCGAGCATCGGAATAAGAAGAAGAAACCGTTTGATTTTACCGGTTGGGAAGACTACTCGATAGAGGTGATTCTACGCACGCTTCACAATACTAGGTCAGCTGCTCAACTTCGATTGCTAGGAACCACAACAGGAAAACGGTTATGATTGCGGCGTCTTCACCTGTCAATATCTACAAGGGTTGTCGAGAGGCGATGACCTTGTCAGGTTTACACAGAAAGACATGCCCTATTTACGACGACGCATGATCTGGGAGATCGGCCATGCGAGGCTACGCGATGAGCCATAATCTTATGGTTTCATATATCCGCTGTATATTGTGCTGTATAACTTATAATAGAACCTGTAGCAACAGTAGGGCTGTAGTCGAGTAATAATGCTTCTGGGAGTTGTACTTTTCTTGCGTTCGTGCGGTGACGAAAAAAAATAATCCACTCTGGTCCGCGTCACCGTCGAAACCACCATACTACAATGAAAAACCAAAAGACAATGACGAGAAAGATAATGTACCAAAGCCAACGGCATCCCTGTCTTTGTGCCATGTTGTTCATCCTTCGAAATGTCCCTTGTAGAATCCCAGACGTCTCCGCGAACGCGTCGTTCTACAGCAGTCAGAGTTCGTGTTCAGACTGTTTTCAATGTCCAAGGAAGACTGGGAACACACCATCTGACTTAGCTGCACCGTCGACTCTCGCACTTCGTTCCCAATCCCAATGGTGATCTATGCAGAAGACGAATGGTGAAGGATTAAGTTGGCTGAAGCCGAAACATAGGACAGGTGTCTTATGTTCGAGAACTCACGTACATCCTTCAGCAGCTTCACCTTTGCGCTTAAGCCTTCCAAGGCCTCGTCATTCTGACCCTCTAGGTCATCGGCGTAGCGGTGCCCATTGGCCTGCTGCCCGTAAGAAGAGTTGTTGAAGGGAGACGAACGACCGGAAGAAGGTGGTGTTACGCCGAGGAGGTTTGATCGGTCGCGAAGTGAAGCTGGTTGTCGTATACTGCAAGAATCTGGTCAGCGAACAACGAGCAAAGGCGGCTGGAGGTTTACCGTTGAGACATGAGAGGACGCAAACTGCAATGGCTGTTAAGTTTGCATCCGTGGCAAGATGACAAGAGTAAGGTACAACACGTTGAGCAGTTACCGTTTATAGCACTTTCACAGCAAATACTCAGATCAAGCTTCAACCCATCCATTTCCACCCGACTATAATGATACATCTAAATAACAGGCTAAACTTGCGAAACAAGGCAAGTGGTGCGAGGGGAGAAACGGTGGTTGGTGCGCGCTGCCACCTACCATGATGAATAAAATGCGAATTTATGGTATAAAGTACGGTATATGACGAATGCAGTGATGGGTGCCTATGTGATAGGATGCAGAAGGTTGACTGGACAGCTAGATGCGTAAACGTCCATTTTTCGCTGTGTATAGGCGTGGCTCTTCCTGCCAGGTAAATGAATACATATGGGGGGTCCCATAACATGTCGTGGAGAATCAGTCAATGCTCATGCGATTCAAATTCGTGCTCGCGGCTCGTCGGTGTGCTTGGGATGCATAACGGCCATGTGCTGGGTTGCTCTTCCTCTCCACTGATTTCCAGGTTGATTTAGTTATTCGTGACAGGTGTAAAAGAGGTCGACTTACATGCGTCTTTCAGGCCACGGCCAAAACTCCGCATGACCATAACGGACAACACCATGGTCATGAAGAGGAGTACTATGGCAATAATGGCTACAAAGTGGTTAATGAAGTGTCGCCAACTCAGTATATGAGAACTTACAGAAGACAGTAAGAGATTTCCAGACGAACTTGAATTGCGTCGTGTCCTTGTACAGCAAGACTTTGATGAGCTGTAGCAAACATGACACCGTCAGATAAAATCTAAGGCTGAGCAACGAATATACAAACCTTGTAAATGAAATAGACCATGGCACCGATGCATCCACACATGAAGGTCGCCATCATCCATTTGTTTTCGTGTCTTGCAGCCAGATGACCCTCCACCAAGAGGACAATGGAAAGTGGGAGGGCTGCACATGTCACGTAATATTCCCAGTCACTCTTCTGGAGAACCAGCCAGATGAACTGTACTGAGAAGCCAGCCCAAAAGAAAACATCGAATTTGACCAGGCATTCGTATATCTGATAGTTGGCATACAGCTTTTTGATCCTCCGGTCGGCACCAATAAACTTGTAGACCTTCCAGCCAAATTCATGGTAAATCTTCCAACCGAGGCCGATGTACGCGACCTCGGAGACAGATATAACCACAGGTATGACGGTGGTTAGAACATTGACTGGGACAGTCGAGACGCCTGTTGTTGCATCCGTAAGTGCCTCGCGAATTTCTTTGATTTGAATGATGGCGTAGACGAGGAAGAGTGCGTTAAATACGCTGGAATAGTGGTGAGATATAGACAGTCTAGCGCGCAAGGAACTCACGTCAGACATAGGAACTGGAGAGTATTCCGCGCATATACGGCATCTATGGCCATTACTAGCTGGAATATACTGTTTACGCGCCTGTCAGCTCAAGAAAAACAGTCGAGGCAGTGAGGTTACACACTGGGCAAGTGCAAAGATGCTGAGATATACAGGCATCTTGCGCGATGGTATTTGACCGTCAGCCTCGCTGTCGCCCTGGACCTCCTCTCGCACCCTAAGTAGGAGCTCTCCTTCAATAATCAAGTCTATCGTTGTCTCGATGATGACAGTTAAAACATAGAGTCGACATGCAAGAGATTCGGGAAGGATCTACAAAGTTCATGAGCCAAAATCGATCTTATGCGTCGAAACTTGCCGCACCTTTTGCCATAGACTTCGAGTATCTGTCTCTTTTACAGGAGGCAGTGGTGGATAAGACACATGGGATGGT